AGGGGGGCCAGAGTCTCTTCCCTGCCTAGCCCAGCCTATGGGAACCCCAGAAAAAGTAAATCTGGCCTATGGGAAGCCCAGAATCTCAGTCGTCCATGTCCTTTCCCCTCTTCTGGAATGCAAGAAGAACGAGAAGTCTCAGTGAGGGCTGGAGGTTTTGCTTCTCTCTTGTGTGGTCCCCAACTGATTTGTCTGTGGGTCAGTGACCCGTGACCCAAAAAAGGTTCCCCACACCTGCCATAAATAAAGAAAACACTGAAGCCTTTTATGTTGGACATAATATTTTACTGAATTTAAAATGAAGTTTGATAAACTAACATGCGAAAGTTAAAATGTTTAATCTGTTTAATAATTTAAATTAAACCGTTCTCCCCAGCTGCAACCCTAGCAAAATGGCTCAGATGTAATCATGTAATTAATAGTGAGTTTCCATTAGCAACGGGCAGTCTACAGAAAGGTTTGGAGAGAGCAGGGCCTCAAGAAAGGGGTGGGGTGTTTGGGAAAGGATGGGGTAGATCCTGGCTTGTCATGACATGTAAAAAGTGATTTTGGGGATAAAAAGTTTGAAGACCACTCCTTTAAACAATGATGTTTTGAGGTTTACAGGATCTTTCGAAAAAGGCTTTTATTTTCGAAAGAACTGTATCTAGACTGCGGTTTTACTTTCGAAATAGCGCTTTTTTGAAAGAGAGCCATGATGTGATTACGCAAATGAAGCATGGGAAATTCAAATCCTGGCTTAATTTGCAATTTCTAAGTGTCTAATTTACATCTTTCTGTCAAAAGAGGGACATAGTCTAGATGTACCCTTAATGGACAGTAGAAACGTGATAAAGGAGACATAACATTTCCAGTGTAGATAAAAGTTTGATTTTAGTGTGAGATCCTGGCCCAATGAGAGTATTACCATGGACATCAATGGAGACTGGATTTCACTCTAAGGCCTGGTCTACACTAGGACTTTACATCAACTTTAGCCCCATATGGTCAATTTTCTAAGAGATGTGTCCACACTACCAAGTCTGTCGTGTTGACCTAAAGGGCTATGGAAATAGATTCCTGTACTTCTGCTTCTCACAAGGAGGAACACTGTTCCTAACCTTGCACAGTAGAATTTATGCTAGTGTAAATGGAGCATTGCTAGAAAGTCAATGCTGTTGGCCTCCAGGAGGCCTCCTACAGCTTCCCGCTCTGACTGCTCTGGCCACAACTTGCACCACAACTGTTCTGCCACTGAGCTCAAAAGGTCCTGAGACCAGGAGAAGAGCCTGTCTCATGTGGTCATTGTGACAAATCCATTCGTGAGTGAGCAGCACACTGTGGCACACATGCAGATGGCATCAACTACTCCCAACAATAGCACAACTACTTTGAGGATTTCTGCTTTCATGGGATCTAGTTCCCAGAAGCAGAGAAGAGCATCTGCCTGGAGTCCCCAGAAGATCTTCAATCTCATCTAGGTGTGGGGGAAGAAACCATTCTCAATGAGCTACAAACCAGTCCTACCATAGAGTGAAGGAGGAAGACAAGAATGGTCTGGTGCAGAACTTCACACGTGTCGCTTCTACAACTGGCTGGGTGCCATTTTGGGGGATGGCCTGGCCAGTGTCTCCAGCATGGTTGTTAAGTCAGGACAAGATACAACTATCATCAACCTGGAGGACTCTGATGGCAGGGAGGGCACAAAGAGGAGGAGGAAGAGGAGGACAGTGGCCAGCCACTGA